GGGGTGTAATGGAACAATGTTATAAGCAATGGATAAGGAGTGAAAATTTGAGCAACATCGGTCAAATCTACGAGAAAGAATGAAGAATAGTAAAGTGAACAATGACCAATGGAGGGAGTGAGAAAGAAACAAAAAATTAAAGAGTAAGTCTGATGTACATATTTTTTGAAAAGAAAATGTGTACTAAGAATTTCCATATAAAAGATGTGTACTAAGAAAATTTAGTTTTAAGGATTGATGTGTGTATTGATATACATATTAGTCATTTTGTTTAGTGGTAAAATTAATTCATTAAGTGTGCGCATAGAGAGTAAATGATATATGGAAATATAATTATCCTACATCCCCTTAGGACATAATAGTCCAATATATATGGCATTCATAGTCCAGTGGGACTTCTAATCTGACCTACAAATTCTCAACCAAACAATAGATTATATGGTAGATTGGACATGTAGTCCAATCCCCCCTCCAATCCTTCAAAACAAACGCCTCCTAAATATTTTCTACAATAAAATTTATATTGTGGGTGTTGATTTCTGACCACACAGCCAAACAGGGAACTTAGCTGGAGAGCATGCGGCAGAATAGATTAAGCTAACCACTTGCCAACATGAAGACGAGAATACCACGATGGTTCGTCCACCGGGGGCACTCCAACAATCAAGTCAGTCACTTATCTCACAAGATATCATCAACTCAAATCAAGAGCTCACAACATAAATTACATCACAAATAAAAGCATACCTTAGACCATGGGGATGCCTCACTTTTATAGTGGTCAGTGTCTAACTTCCTGTAGAAGTTTTACTTCATGTGACTCTATCCTTTACAAAAATAACATCTATCATAACTCACACTATTCAGATTAAAATGAACTTCCTCAAGAGTCCCATCTTTATCCAAATAGGTAGTTTGATATCATCTAGGACTTTAGTCCTCTATCCAAATATCTCAGATTCCGGTATTACCGCACCATATCTCTGCATCATGGTCCGCCCACGTGGCACCTCAGCTAACAACCTCGGCCATGTGAATTACCCAAAATATGTCCCCACAACTGTCCCCTAGGTTCTATTACCTCGACAATTTGAGGTGATGGAACCTACATTGTTGAATCTTCCAACATGTTGGCTAAACAACATACTAGATATACTTTTTCGACCAAAATCATGACTCGCCGATGTAAAGAAACAAGGACTCAAATGTCCACTCATCAAAAAATCAAGAATTAGGAACCAAGAACCATCATGTTTTATCTCATTCAAGTCCAACATCTGGACAGAGATCGCACTACTAGTAGAGATCATGACTTGCTAGTTCAAGAACATCAAAATCCCAGTATCAACTCATCAGGAACCAAGAACAAATAAGTTCTGTCCCATCCAAATTCAACATCTCAACCACGGTCAACATCTCCACTAAAATCAGAGAAAAAAATACCGTTCAAAACAGAGAATAAAATATAACTCAATTGTGGGGACATATTTTTGGGTAATCCACGTGACCGAGGTTGTTAGCCGAGGTACCACGTGGGCGAACCATGGAACCGAGATATGGTGCGGTAATACCGGAATCCGAGATATATGGATAGAGGACTAGAGTTTTAGATGACATCAAACTACCTATTTGGATAGAGATGAGACTCTTGAGGAAGTTCATCTTAATCTGAATAGTGTAAGTTGTGATAGATGTTATCATTGTAAAAGATAGAGTACCATGAAGTAAGACTTCTAGGGGAAGTTGGACACTGAACATTATAAAAGTGAGGCACCCCCGTGTGTCTAAGGTATGCTTTTATTTGTGATATGATTTATGTTGTAAGCTCTTGATTTGAGTTGATGATATATTGTCAGATAAGTGACTGACTTGATCGTCGGAGTGTCCCCGGGTGGACGAACTCCTGTTGTATTCTCATCTTCTTGTTGGCAAGTAGTTGTCTTAATCTATTCTGCCGCGTGCTCTCCAACTCAGTTCCTTGTTTGGTTGCGTGGTTAGAAATCAACATCCACATGTACTTTTAGAAATAAAAAAATATTTAATTTTTAAAACTCTTGTATGTTATAATGATGAATTGGGTTTGAATTTCTAATTATTCTTGGGTAGAAGAAAATCATTTGATTCTTCTACTAAAAAATTGTCTGAGATGATGGCTTAAAGACTGCCCTCAGATAGCATATTTGTTGGGTTGGCTTTTTGGTTAAAATAGTGACAAAAAGATAAAATAGATTAAAAAATAATAAGATAAAATGTCACATTCAAATTATAATCATTTGATTTTTTCTCTCACAAAAGTCAAAAGAGTAAAAAAAAATTCATTCCAAACAAGACTTTTTAATTCCAAGTTTAAAAAGTCAAAAATTAAAAAGTCAACTCACACCCCAAACGAAGCCAATTGAAGGACACAATTTTCTTTGATATTTTATAATCAAAAAAATAATGATAAATTTGTGATGCATTGGAGTTGACACATTACAGCTACTCTCGGATTTCTTAGGCAACATAAGGATTAAATTTCTGCTAATTTCAAATCTAAACTTGATCTTGTTGTCCGGCTTCTTGAAATTCACCATAAGTTTTGTTTCAATGAGTAGAACCATTTATTTTGTAAAATTTTTCATATATCATCTATTGAAAAAATTAAACCAATCTAATAATTAATAGACTTTTTCTATTTTTTTTATGACAAATAGTATACACGAAAGTCTTACCAAACCTGCTTATTGAAAGAAGAACCAAATGTTCCCCCCTCCTTTTTTTTTTATTACAGGAAAATACCCCCCTTCTACCGCAGGTCCAGGGCAGCATTCCTTGCAGAGATCACCAAGGTGTCCTGTTGAACTTGCCCTGACCACTCAAGACAAGCTCCGCTTAAGTCAGGACTCTTACAGAGATCACCAAGGTGTCCTGTTGAACTTGCCCCGACCACCCAAGACAAGCTCCGCTTAAGTCAGGACTCGAGCAGCGGGGGAGCATTGGGCCCACACCAAGTGCTGTGATAGCAACAACTTGAGGCTAACTTCCTAACCAACTGCTCTACGCCCAGGAGATTGGCCCAAGAAATTTTGAATTTGGGACCTAAGGTCTTAACCCCCGAGCCTTTACCAAATTACCAAACACCGTTGGGTTAATGTTCCCCTTTTTGTTCCTGCTTATAAACAGAATTGTGAGCTTGAGAGGGTTTTGATTTTTACCTACCCAATATTTTATTATTATTATTTTTTTTGGGGACTGTTTTTGAAAATTAGTAAGGGTACGACATTGGATCCTTGTCCTAGATTTTAAGCTCCGTTTGGGATCTTTAAAAGTCACATTTAAGCCTCGTTTGACAAGTGCTGATTTTAATTAAAAAGTTATTAAAAAAATTAAAAAATTAATAATTTATACCAAAAAATCAAAAATTCTGTTTTCTCTTTACTTTTTATATATCTTTTAATAAAAAATCAAAAAATCATTACAAACATACTAATTTTTTTATTTTATATTTTAACTAAAAAAATTAAAAAATTACCAAAAAAATATATTCCTAAACAGGCCTTATTGGCCTTTTTAATGTAACTTCCCGTAGTAGAAAAAAGTCCTTTATGAAAAAAGACTTTTCAGATATGACTTTTAAGAGGAGAACTTTAATAAAAATGGATATGTGGTGGTTATTTATTTAAAAGTCCTACAAAATTAAGAACTATTTTTAATGGGTTTTTTTAATTGATAAATTTTATTTAGAGGTGTTCTAATCTAATCTAATAAAAATTATAACATAATAAGTCTTATATATTTATACTTTTATTTCATAAGGTTCTTTTTTCCTAATTTATATTGTTTGTTAAACTATTATACCCTTATATCTATTATTGATATGTATTATATAGAAAAAGGATATACATATTTCTTTTTTGCCACTACCTCTATTTTGGTAGTTATTATTATTCACGTTTTTTGTTTTGATCAGTTTCATTCATATTTGTAATATTGTTTCATTGTGTTAGGATTTGAAACCCTCTATTTGGTAGGGTTTAAAAACTTTAGTTTACACATGACAGTGAAATAATATTATATTCCTCTATTGTTACGGTGAAGCTTTGTGTTCCTCTATAGTCACTTTGTGTTTAAAGTTTTGTGTTTGTCCATTACTATGTTTCTCTGTTGTTGTAAGTTGAAACTTTGTTTATGTTCAGTGAATTTTGTTATAAACATATTTTTCAAAGGTGGGTTTTGTTCGATTTGGATTGGTGGAATGGTAAAATTGCATATATTGTTAATGATAGTGATAATGATAAAGATGAAGATGAAGATGAAGATGATGATGTGGGTGATATATATATATATATATATATTTTTTATAGTGATAGAGTTTTTTTTTTTTGGATTTCTAATTCTATTGCTGTCGTTGTTTTTATTTTTTTGTCAATTAGTGTGAATGTTCACATTTCACATTACACATTATTTGAAAGTCTAAGAAATATGTATTAGAATATAGATATAGATATAATTATATATTTTGCAATATGTGAATGTTCACATATCATTGGTTATTTGTTAATATACTTGTTCTTTGAACAATCATTTTTTGTTATCATTAAATAATTGAAATAGTCATTTTTTTTCCTTCAAATTTCACTACAACAAAAAGAGTCTATGGAGACGAAAATTTATGACGAAAATAAATTTTGTCAACAAAAGACTTACCTTTTAGTGAAGAAAATAATATTTCTTCTCCAAATGTGTCATTTTTAGAGAGAAAAATAAAATTTTATCACCAATCTATATACAGAATAAAAAATTAGATTTTTCGCCATTATTTTTATTTTTTTTATCACCAAAATTTTTTCCCCCTATTAAAAAATTTGAAAGAAATTAAACCGCCAAGTTAGTGACAAAAAAATTCCATCCCCATTAAAAATATTATTAGTGTGAATAAATATTTGTCACCAAATATTTCAATTTATAAAACTACCTAGTTTTGTGTTTTGGAGACAAATTCTATTTACTCACCAAATCCATTCTCTTGACCCAAATAATCCATTGCTCTCATTTCACACGCAGAGGCAGACTGTATACCTTCGTCAAAGCTCTTCGTTTCTCTCTCTCGCACCATTGTCCAACTCGCAGCACGGTCCACGAATTCCAGGTTAGTTGTAGTCTCTGTTCTCTTTCTCTACCCCTCTCTCTATTCGGGTCTCTCGTTTCTCATTCTCTACCCTTACTCTGTCTTCAGACGTGTTTGGGTCAAGATGAGATTAAAGCCATTCCATTCATTACTTCTAACATTTCTATAACTCTCTAAGGGTTCCATGAACAATTTGAATGATTTTAATTTGGGAAAAAAATATGGAAACTATGATGACTAACATGTTCTATATTTTGATTATGATATTCATATTATAACCAATATAATCATTGAATTGAATGGATTGTTGTTGATTCTACACATTGTAAAGTCTCATGATATTCTAATTGTGTTTGCTAGGTGTTTGATAAAATGCCACAATGGCTAGTTTTTTTTCTTTATTGTTTTGTTTTGTTTTTTCGTTCCTTTTTTTTGTTGTTGTTGGAGAAACTGGTTCAATCTTAGATCTCTCCCATGGAGTTTGTGGCTTGTGGTAGTAAATTACTTCAACCCAAATTTTGGTATGTCAGTGTTGTGTTAATTAAATCCTTTTAATGAATATGACTTTCCATATAGGTTGTATATGTTACTGAATTTATTTTAATTTTCTTAATAATGTATCTTTTTCAACTACTATATAGTTATAAATAATGATTAATTTATTGTTGCTGACAGCCTTCAAGCCAATGTTTTCAACTCTGGGGAAATGGTATGTATTAACTGTAGTTTTTTCAACATTTTATTTGTTCATATCCATATTAGTAACTTGGGATTGGTGTTTGGCTTTTTATGTGGTCCTTATGTCAATTAGAATTTTGGATTGACCTGTTCTATGTTAAAGGTCATGCCTCTACAGAAGTGTATTGTCAATCTGTCATAATATTCTGTAAATGTGAGTGTGAGTGTGTGTATTTTTTTTTCTTTTTCGGGAGCAGGGGAGCCGAACTTTCTTATTCTGGGGTGCAGACAGTCTCTTCATTTTTTTGCTTCTTTTTCCCTAGCATGACAACGAGTAATGATATCATAAGATTTAGTGTAATTTTGATGAATACATTGATTGCTTTTGTATAATAGATTTAGAGTTCAGAAACCAAGAAAAATTTATTAGATCTTAATGATTGTCACGTTATTAGTCAATTCATGCTGATATGTGGTTAGGTTTTGTTACACAGTTCTGTTGGAATTTTATGCACCCTGGTGCTGTCATTGCAAAAACTTGGCTCCAATCTTGGATGAAGTTGTTGTTTCGCTTGAAAGTGATGCTGATGTTGTCATTGCAAAGATTGTAAGACCTATAACCCAAACTAGCTAAAGACTACTTGAAGAGATTTGTTGCTTTGTCAGTATAGACGGTTATTTTCTGCAAATATTGTGCACGTGAATTATGTTTTAATATTACTCTTAAAGTACCTTTCCTTTAATGTTATTTTTGCCTTGCAAATTGAAATCGTTTTCTTCCGTCATTTCTAGGTTGCTGGTTCATGTACTGTTCATCTATGGCTACTAAAACTGAAGAGTAAAATTGTTTTCCTTTAGGCTTTTACAACAATATATAGTAAAAATTATTTTTTATTAATCTTAGCTTGATATTTTGGCTCATCTATGTTGGTTTATTTCTCATCCATTAATCTACATTTTGCTTTCTGATTATTGATATGATTTTCTTATTTGTATCTTCGGTTATGATTTTTTCTGCACCAATACCATGAGATTTCTTTACCGCATTGAAATCATTGGTTTGATTACAACTTACTGGTTTCATCTGCGTTGATGTTGATCCTTTTATTTGTTACAAATTTTATTCCTGAATTGCTCCCACCATTTTGTACTTTGTAGGATGCCACTGCAAATGATGTACCAATTGATATTTTCGACGTGAAAGGTTATCCAACATTGTACTTCAAGTCAGCAGGTGGAAATCTGTTGCAGTACAATGGGGAACGTACCAAAGAAGATACAATTGACTTTATTTAGAAGAATCGGGATAAACTTGCCCAGCAGGAAGCTGGAAAAGATGAGCAGCAGGAACCTGGAAAAGATGAGCTGTAATGAAGGTATTTTTGTAAACATTACAATTTTGTTTATCATTTAAGGCAGTAGTGTCAGATTGTAATCAACAAAATGTAACATGCACTGGCCTGGTGTGAATTGGGGCAGCTGTGTGGACTGGTTATTTGGGCAAATTTCTGGCCACTCCTTGGCCACTATTGTGAAGAAATTGATGTTTACTTGTGCTATCTACTGTATCTGGCAGGAGAGAAACTATAGGATTTTCTCATTTTCCCCATTTTCCTTTTGTCTGCAGCGCTATGCTGGTACTTACTTAGGGATGTTATAGGTTGAGTGATTGTGAGCCACCTCAGTTAGGAGTATTGATTGAGATTCTTGAGAGTTGAGAGTGTTCTGTTTATGAGGGAATTTGAGCCCATATATGAGTGTTGAGAGATGTGAGACCTCCATATTCATGTATTCTTGCTTATTATCTTGCTTTGCAGGTTGTCAAGCTGGTCTCATGTAGGGAGGAGGGTTGAAATGGTGAGTCCCTATAACTAGGCTCAGTTCTGTGGGTTGAGTGATGGTGAGCCACATAGTTTATCTAACTCTTCTTCTGCAGGTTGTCAAGCTGGTCCTAATTGTAAGGGAGTTTTTTTGTTGAGGGTTAAGTGTTTGGATAGCTCTCATAAATTGTTTAGAGTGTTTTGTGTTGCCTATTGAGGGTTGAGTGAATGAGGACTAATTTTGTGGGCAGTTTTTACCCAACTTTGTTTTATAAAATGTAAATTTGTCATTGGGGTTTGCTGGAACTTGAACGAACAGTATATTGAATCTGTTGAACCTCCCCATAAGTCGAATATGTGATGGTTGAACAGATTTCTTTTAGGCCTGTGAACATCTGTTTCTGGTTGTTTGCAGCTGATTTTGTTGTTTCGAATATGCTGTGATGGATTTCCTTCTGTTATGCTGACTGTGTCCGCAGTTGTTGTTCTGCTGGTATGCTGGCTGGTTTATTTCTCTGCTGGCTGCAGCCCATGCTGTGTCACACCCCAAACCCGCCTCTAAGAGTTTGGGCATGGCCAACCTGATAACAGATTCAAAATTCAACAATCGATAGGATAATTATCTTATGCAATACGGGACCTGAACGGAAGCAATTATCAGTTTAAAATAACATTCATTGAGCTAGTGTTTACATGCCAAGATCACAAAACATTTCATTGCATAAACCTATACATAATGAAGCATATACATAAGTTACATAATGAAGCATATACATAAGTAACAACTATATATATATATACAGTCTCAACCCCGCATCTGGGGTATAACTAAAACATCGATAATGAAGGTTATACATGACTAACAACATTTGACAAAAGGCTAGTGGCCAATGTTATGAGCTATGAAAAGAACTCCACAAAAATGAATAAGCTTCATCTAACTGCTTGGACACAGCGGGGTTGACAAAAGAAAAACTGCTAGGCTGGACTAGGATTGACCTCTGAGTTGATTACCTACAGAGATATACATAACACGGAGTGAGCAAGGCTCAATGAATAATAGTATGCAGGGGATTCAAATGAATGAACATGAATCACGCCGCATATAAGCGCATAGATCAGATGTTTGGTCTTATTTTGTAAATATTTCCAAAACGGCCTTGGGCCCAATATTTACACAACATGGTCTCAGGCCTAATATCATGCAGAATGGCCTCCGGCCCAACATATTGTACAGAACCGCCTCAGGCCCACATCTCAACAGCTTTTCACATATTGGAGGGTAGGTAGAGCATCGACATGTACACTATCTCCCTTGGCCTTAGGCCATGAATCATAGTCACTTCAAATCATATTTGGGTCGGCGAGACATCGGCATGTCATCGTCTCCCTCAGCCTTAGAGTTGTCCACATTCAGTGGCTTATAACTGAACGGCCTCAGGCCCATCACTAGCAAAGCAGAACGACCTCAGGTCCATAAGGATATTGTTGCTCAACAACACATAGGTTTCCCAGTTGTTCACTATAAGGAGACATAGCTTACTTATGCATAACAAAACGCTAATGATAACTATTAGCAGTAAACGAAACGCATCACTACACTACTATTACTCACAGTACTGTGGCGGAGCGATAGTCCTTTCCTGTATGTGATCTACACACATGCAATTTATAAATTAGTCCATTTTCCTTTTTAATCAATATATGATTCGTTCGACATTCATTTAATTATAAGCATTTTAAAAGCTTCAGATACACATTTTAGCAATCCCAAAGGGTCAAACAGGAGAAAAGAAGCACACAGTATTTTTCTACATGGGCCGCACGTGCGGAAGCCCCTTGTTGCACGTGCAGGAAGATGGGCCGCACGTGCGTCCCACACGTGCATATATTTCAGAATTCCAACTTTGCACTCCCCTATTTTCTGCACGTGCGGTTGTGAGCCCTGTACGTGCGGTGGTGCTTCCCGTACGTGCGATGATGACCCCCGCACGTGCGGTCGCAGCCCCTGTTTTGGGCAGTCCGAATCAAGGCACAAATTCAACAAGGCAAACATATCACAAAGGAGAAAAATGGGGAAATCACCTCAATACTATAACATAATATTACCATAACATGAATCATAAATGATAATACCATAATGAACATGAATTACAAGTTTATTTAGATCATAATCTTTTCTAGATTCACATACACAATTCAATTCCCCCATGGTTGTGGTTAGATTTGATATATGAACAATACATGTGTATAATCATACGAGTTCCAATATGAAAAATCAAAGAATAGGATATATTCCCCCATATAGCTCAAATTAATTTCAAAACAACCAAATGATAAGCACATCTTTCCAATTAGTCAAATTTCACACACAAGACCTCAATTACAAACCCTAACTTGCATGAATATCAAGGAAATTCTTACTCAAGTCCAAGAGAGAGGTTATTCAAGGTGGGTTATACATACCTTGAGCTCAAATCTCAACAATCCTTCACAATTTCCCAATTTTCTTCCTTGTTGAAGCTTCCTCCCTCTTGCTCTCCCTCTCTGACCCTCTCCTTCTCTCAGGAGATATTTTTGTTTTGTGATATAGCAAGTGACCAACATAAGAGTTTTAAACGTATATTTAAGGGTTAGTCATAAATTAATCAATTTAATCATTCCGACTCAAATTTTTACGAAAACTCATATTATGATTTAAAAATCATGCTTATTACAATTATAAAGTCAATTTCGAGTTATCAAGCTTTTAAGGCTTCCAATTACTAATTCAAACATCGCAATTGTAACAGATTTTTCTCCTAATTAATAGATATAAATCCATAATCATATAATTCAGGCAATTAAACTTAATTTCGCATGGAATTTTACATTAAACATATAAGTGCACCTAATAAGAGACCGAAAGCATACCAGAAAGCATATAAAAGGGTCGGGTTATTACATGTTGATTGCAGTGTTCTTTCACCTCTGTAGCAGCTTTGCTGCTGTGATTCCTTTTTGCAACACTTTATTAGTTTTTCTGCAACATCTGCAGGAGTCATATGGATATCCTCCAACAACACATTAATTCTGACAAACAAATTATGTGATTTGATATTAAAATAGTTTTTCTTCTACCCGCTTGCTTATGATTTGTTACAGCTATAACTTTTGTGTAATCTTCATGTTAAATATAATTAAGTTTAGGTGAATGTTTTTCTTTGAACACTTATTAGTTATGCTGTGTTTTTCTTTGAATGTTTTGGCCTCAGGTTTTGTGGATCTTGTAACGAGTTTGATCTTAAGGTGACTCTTCTCATAGGCCTTAGACAAGAATTGATACACATTGATATATATATATACACACACACGCATGTACACAATCACACACGTGGATGAGGTTAAGGGTGAACGAAAACCCATAATGGTCTTAAGAGGTTGAGAGTGAACCTACTGAAAACCCGGATATGTTATATTTGTTGTATGGGTGAATTTCGATAGTTTTTGTTTTCAAATGGCAGTTATGATGGTAAATTGACAAAAGGAAAATGGTAAATTGATTGCAGTTATGATGAACATCTATAACTATGTTTGTGTTTATGAGCTATTCTCATGAAGTCTGAAGTAGTTAGTCTCAATTGTTCTCATTGATATGTGTTATAATATATGTCTTTGTTGTGGGATTCACACTTGCAATTAATCTCAACCATAACATTGCTCTTTTACAGGAAAAGTTTTTTGGTTGTGTAATATTTGCTCTCTCTCTCTCTCTTTGGTCCTGAAAGTTGTGGATAGAATTGTACTCATAATTTGCCTTCTCAAAATTTTACTCATAATTTTGTGCCGCTCTTTTAACTAAGATTTAATTGTCTGTTTTCCTTTTATCTTTATATTGTTTCCGTTTTTAAGAAAGTAAGATTATTTGCAGGTGCATATTGTGCAGAGAGGAGCTGTCCAGCCTTTGATTGAGATGCTTCAATCCCCAAATGTACAGCTTAGAGAAATGTCGGCCTTTGCACTGGGTAGGTTGGCACAGGTTAGTGCTTATTTCTTTCTTTCTCTTATTACTAAAAAATTACAATTAGTTGATACGGTTGACCTGTAAATTTGCTGCCATTGTACCCACAGATGTTGTCTTCCAGCTAACTAATGATTGTTAGGTGTGTATGATGAGTCAAAGTTAATGCATCCATTGAATTTCTAAACTTTTCAAAACTTTGGTTGTGTAGGTCATAACTAAGGAGATGGAAGTTATTTTTCAATGATAGGGAATACTGAACAAAAAAAAAAAGATGGGGAATATTTTTTGTTATAATTGCTTTGAATTCTTTTTGTGAAAAGAACAAAAGCAAAAACAAACTTTGTATTTCTGGTTAGTAGATTCTTGTGAAATTAAAATGACACCATATTTTGGTTCAAATGATGTTGAGTGGTTCCATGCTATGGATACCTCCTTGCGGTGGCATGGTGACAAGAAGAGAGAAAAAAGCAGGCATCTATGTAGGTGCATGGTTTTAAAATTTGATGTCTAGTCATGTTAAGTGGGCCAAAGTTGTTCTCAGATAGGTGCCTATATTGAACAATAAGATGGCCAAACTACTTAAGGTTCCCAGAGTGTGGTTTATATCTGTGCCTTCCCATTATTATCATATACCACAATTCCTTGTTTTCGTCAGTTCCTCTTTTATAATACGCTGTCTTCAAATTTGTAGTTTCTATAATTATAAACTTTATTGAGTACATTGTGGTAAGCATTTTTTTTTAATCTTTAGCTTGAAAGGAATTTCTGTTGTTCAGGATGCTCACAACCAAGCAGGTATTGCTCATAATGGTGGTTTGGTGCCATTGCTGAGGCTTCTTGATTCAAAAAATGGGTCTCTGCAACATAATGCTGCATTTGCTCTTTATGGCCTTGCAGATAATGAGGTATATATTCATTTGATGAATTCAGTTAACTTTTAATGGGGGGCTGATGTCTTTGGTTTTATTTTATTGAATTCTGTTGAACTTCATTTGTTTTTAATTTTAATTTTTTAAGCTTAGTGACCTAGTAGTTCTGATTTAGGCCGTGTTCAATTGATGTCAACACTGCTTTTTTAAGCTTTTTAATTTAATTTAATTTATTCTTTTCCTCATAGGATAATGTGGCTGATTTTATCAAGGTTGGTGGCGTTCAGAAGTTGCAGGATGGAGAATTCATTGTTCAAGTATGCTTGTTTTTCTTTTCTTTTTTAAATTCTGATTAGTGGCTTTTATGTTGAGGCTTTCTTTAGATGCCACTAGCAGATAATATCATATTCTTGCACTCTAATATGGCTTCAGCTTCATAGATTATTGTATGTTTATAGGTTTCCTAGTGTTGTTTAATGATAAATGCATTTTTAGGCAACGAAAGATTGTGTAGCCAAGACACTGAAAAGATTAGAGGAGAAGATTCAGGGACGGGTGAGCAATTTTTTTTTTTTTTTTTGTTGATGTTAAATTATATGATTATGGTTTAGTTCTAGTGCTTTTTTATGCACATTCTTGAATCTAAATCCCTTAATTTCTCCCTTGTAGGTTTTGAGCCATTTGTTATATCTGATGCGTATAGCAAAGAAGACTATTCAAAGACGAATTGCTTTGGCTCTTGCCAACCTTTGTTCTGCAGAGGATCAGAGAACAATATTCATTGATAACAATGGTATGCCATTTTCTAGGCTGACATTTGACATAATTGAAATCAATTGCTTATATCACTTGTGTGCAGGATTAGAGTTACTACTTGGTCTTCTTGGTTCCACGAACCTAAAGCAGCAACTTGATGGTTCTATAGCCTTGTACAAGTTGGCTAACAAAGCCACGACTCTTTCTCCCATTGATGCGGCTCCTCCATCTCCGACGCCACAGGTGTGTGTCCTTTTTATTGTTAGTTTATTTTGGCCCATGTGTTCTGTTAGATTTGGAATTATTTCAAACAATTAGCAGGACTAGTATTTGGCAGATTTCATGAAAATATCAGTTGGCTTTTAATTTAAGAAATTTTGAATCTGTTGTTTATTTTAATTGTATACATGCATCTTGCAAGAGTTAGGGTCCTAGAGTAGAGTAGTGAGGCTATTAGCTTTTTACTAGATAGTTGTTGAAATATTAATTGTGTTGTACTCAAGACCTATGTCTTAAAGGGGTTTGGGCTTGTTGATTTGACCAAATTTCCAGAAATGTGTGAGCACTGATATCTATTACTTTTCTACTCTTTTGTTCCAGCTTCTACAGTAATTACTGCTAGCCGGGATTTAACTTTTATCATATTTCCGTCAATGTTTACCTTTTAGAGTTATATGCCAGCTATATTCTATTGTACCATGAGGTTAATGCTAATATCTTACTTTTTATCATAAATTAAACAATGGATGACTATTCTATGTCTATGCAGCATTTGGTTAATACAAGTCAAAACAAGTTTTTTGTTGTTGTTTTTGTTTCATTTTTTAAGTTCTGATGACCATGATCTGAATCAAGATATACTGCTGTGACTGATATACAAAAGCAGCACTTCGTATATCAGTTCCTTCTCCAAAGACAGTGCTTGTAACGCCCTCAAAATAATAACATTGAACCCATCAGATAAGACATGCATTTACATATAAACTAACCACATTCCTTTATTTCATTGAGTTTCATTACATAAGTATTACATGTTAACATCAAAACAAAATGCCCTACGGGCTTACAGCTTTCCAAGTTAACACTTGGTTACAACAAAAGAGTACTAACTCGTTTACACATTAAGCCCTTGGCTTGAAGTTACATGTAATACATCAAAAGTAAAACAACTACACTATGTCCGCCTCTAGCCTCCCAAGCTATGTCCTTGGAGGTGGCATGCTTCCTGCATTTATTCCCTTTCTCTATGCCAAACATGCATCTAGGTTTATTATGAATAAAACCCCAACTTTTGTAAAATAACACAAAAGCATAATATAATCGATCTATTGTTTATGGCACTGCGGCCACTACGGTATAACATTCAAAGCATCTTCAACCAAGCTAATCACCAAGAGTCCTTCGGACCGGTCTAACTTCTGGCCTTGAGACCGGACTAAATTAAGCCTCTTCAAGACCGGAGTAACTTTTTAGCCTTTTTACTCACCTTCACACCAAGGCCCATAACAAACCCAGCTCGGCCCAATTCGTATATAAATTAACCTCTTCAATTTTCTTGAAAAAGATTATAATTTGCAACTGTTATCTATTATTTGTAGGTCAAAAGGATAAATTTTCGGAGGGGAAGATCTGATTCTAGAGAGGAATTTGCAGCTTGATTTGTGAAATAAGGCCCCAAAAATTGAGAATTCTTGTTGTGAATTATTTTTTATATTTATTTTTTTTGTAAGAGCATTTAAATATGCAAGTGGTGCCTAATTGGTGAATTTCAGATTTTATTTATTTTTTAGGATTGGGTGAATTTTATAATTTAAATTATGCTTTATTATATAAAATGAATATGTACATTATCAAAAAAAAAGGTGTAATATAATTATGTTTGTAAATAATAGTAATGTTTGATTGTGGTTATTATAACTAATAATTTCAATTTATTTATCTATAATTTTATTCTTTTCCTATTACATGATGTTCTATTTCATAAGTCGCATCCACCAAACAAAACTCCAGAACTCCGTAATATAACCCAGCATAGAGACAATTCATTTTATAATATATTAATTAACACTACTTCAAAAATAGAAACTACACATTAGATAAATTCAAACACACGCGTGGCGATTTTAATCTCAGTTCAAAACACACTATAAGTATCAGTGACGTTTATAAAACGCCTTATACCTTATAAGCAGGATCCGAGAAATACAACTGCGAGAATTTCTTGCCGCTCCGTCAGCATATTAATAGTAACTTTTTATTGCCCACGAATACTCTAACCGCCTTTAGCAAAGAACGCGATCAATTACTTTTGCACAGTTCTGTTAATCAAAATTACCATCTTATCTCTTAACCAGACGGTTATTTTTGCCGTCGCAAAAAACTCAGATTTCATTCATGCTTGATTATAAACGCGAACAAGAATATATTACTGTTCTAGTGCAAAAAAATACATATTATTACGGTCGGTGGTCAGTCCCTGTAATTGCTATAGATAAAACACGTGCCCGTCTGCAGGTGGGAGAATGCCCACCTTTGTATGACAAGACGCTGACCAATTTCTGTTAAGAGCGAACCGCTATATTCAATAAATAAAGCTCAACAACCAATACAACCCCCCAAACCCACTATCCAGTACATTAACTCCAACTGGACGGACCCATAAACACAAAAATTGAGGGAGGATAAAAGTAGGAAGCGAAGTTGAGAAACAGAAAAGCAAGAAAAAAAAAAAGGTTAAACGAGTGCATTTGAGATGTACTAATAGTCCAAACATGGTAAATATATCAAATTATTGCGAGTGTGCTCAATAAATTAAGGAAAAATAAAAACAGATGACAAGATAAGCACTTCATATCATTAATAACTAAACTCAAATAAGAGATCTAAGAGATCACATAAAAAAATAATAAAAAGGACCCTTTTGAGACGCGTACCGTTTAGCCTATATACAGGGGCATTTGGGGGCGACGGGCATTTTAAAAAACCGTCTGCAATTATTACGGTGAGCAAAAACAATTGTTTTCTTTGTATCGTAGCGCTTTTTAAACTACCGTGAACAAGGTACAACCACATACACAAGCCTAAGTTCTCATCCTTCCAACATTAACCACCATTGGCATACACAATGGGCCACTGAAATTAGAGATAGATAATGAATAACCCACTAAAAAAGGGCCCTTCTTATATCATCAAAGCTCAGGGCCGGCCCAACCCGTATAAAGGCCTAAAGTAAGAGGCCT